TTTATTGCAATCAGTACAATCTGGGTTTCGTAAAGGATACAGTTACAATACAACATTACTCCATATTCTTAATGATATCATCAACTTAATAAACAAAGGTCATATATTGGCTACATTGGCCGAAAGTAAACTATTTTTTACCTTAGAGTTGAAGTCTGGATATTAGCAGGTAGAAATGGACCCAGTAGTTGAAGAAAACACATCTTTTACTACCGGATCTGGATTGTGGCAATTCAATGTCATGCTATTTGAACTATGTAATGCCCCTGCGGTAATTGAAAGACTTATGGAAAATGTAATAAGAAGGTAATCCTAGAGAACATGCCTGGTGTATTTGGAAGACATCATCGTTTTAAGGAAGACATTTGATGAACATCTAAAAAACTTGGAAGATGTTTTTAAAATACTTTAAGCTGTCCAAATTATGCTAAACCTCAAGAAATTCCGTTTATTTCAAACTAAAGTTAACTACCTGGGTCACATTCAGAAAGGAAGGCATGACTGTAGACAAGGAGAAAGTTGCTTCCATCAAACAGTGGCCACAATCAACTGATAAACATCGAATAAGAAGTTTCCTTGGGATCTGTCTTATTACCGAAGATTTATAAGGAAGTTCGCAGATATTGCTAAGCCAATAAAAATAACAGAAGAAGCGAGATAATTCTGCTGGGATGAAGAATGCCTTTAAAACATAAAGAAGCATTAAACAACAGTGCCAATACTTAGCTACCCATTACCAGAGGGAGAATTTTTTCTCGAAACCTGAACGAAATTACTGCATCACGAGAAAATAACTCTTGGCAGTTGTAAAATGTGTAAAACACTTCTACCCATACCTATATAAAAGAAAAATTTTAATCTGGGCCGATCATGCAGCTCTTAAGTGGCTGATGCAGTTCAAGAACCTGAAGGGCCAACTCGCCAGATGGATCGAACAACTTTAAGAGTACGATTTGAGATCGAACATAGAGCCGGAATAAGCCACATCATTTCTGGTTATATTTCTAGAATACCGTGCCCAGCAGAGTGCTCTTACTGCAATAGAGCAGAATTCAAAGAAAGTGAACTACCAAGAACTATATTCAACGATAAGTGGATGCCTGCCAACCTTAGGTAAAAACAAGAGAACAATCCCGTTTTAAAGAAGATGCGAAAATGTAAAACAAAAAATCGTCGACCTTCTCGGCAAGAAATATTAAATCTCTCTCCAGTAGTTAAGACATATTTGGTTTAGTGGGACGAAAGTAACCGAAGTACTTCGTCAGTTACACGACAGTCCATCGTGATATAGTTAGATTTTAGCAGAGTATTTGATACTATAAACTATGATTTATTACTTAACATTTTTCATCATATACGATTTTCCAAAAATGCTAATTTGCTTATCCACACTTTTTTACGACATCGCAAACAATGCGTTGAAATTGATTCAATTTAGTCCAAATATTTTACACTTAATAGTGCATTAAAGCTCAATTTAAGGACCCTAACCTTTAGCTATTTATATTTCAAAAATAATAAGCTCATTAGAAAATGTAAAATTTATTTTATACTGAGGATACTCAGATCTATTACAGTTTCCCCCTCATTAATCAGAAAATTCTTGTGCATTCATGAATCAATAAATTTTAAAAATTCAAACTTCGTGATGTTGGATGGTTGAACATGGAATATAGAAGGATCCACCATGCTTCTACCCTCTATCATAATCTAATTCCCCAATGTATCTATATATTAAAGATGTACATAACCTAAATTTAAGATTTAAAGGTTTACTGGCGCCGCCACAATTTCGAATAGAAATTTTTAGACGATCATTTAAATATCAAATATTTAAGTTATTTAAATCTGTTCTTGTAAATTTAAAAAATCTCTGTATCTTCACATTTAAATCTATGCTGAAGTCCTCTTCCTTAATAATCAATGTAGCTGATCTCTATTATACATAATCTTCACAAAATTTATTCTTATTTTTACTATTAATGCATGTCATCTGGTCAATTACTTAAGATCTTAAGATGCTCTGGTGTGTTCAAGTAAAAACGAGGAGAAAGTATAAAATACAAAAAAAAAAACGTTGAACAGCTATGTATAAAAAAAAATGCTGTTCTTATACAAGCATAACTAAAATCTATTTGGGCATACTGCATTCGATTTTAAATTATAATCTTACTCTGATCTAAAAAAAATTAGAGTTAAAGTATCACAAGGAGTGACCTAGCTCTACTGTACATATTTTGCGCTATTCTTTATTTGGAAAACAATAATATTGCCACCGTTGCTGATAACACTACTATCTTAATAGTAGGGAGTAATAATGAAGAAGCAACCAACAATCTACAAGAATAGACCCTATACACATCAAAATAAATAATAATTTGATATGATATTTAAATACTAAATACTTTGTACTTAAATATAGAAAAAATAACTGTGTCTGTTCAGTATCTGTTTACTTTTGTTCGCCAAAATTTACTCTTACAGGTTAGGTTGAAAATGAGTGTAATGATCTCATTGCCTTTCATTGCAACACAGATGGATCTATTATGGCTCATGTCTAACTTAAAGCCGGTAGGCTCCAGTCGGGTAAATTCGAAGATGTGAAACCTACTTCTTTTTAATGCGGAACAGGTACATAGAATGTGCTCTGTAGATTCGTCTTCTACGCTGCATAATCGATAGTCCAATATTTGTTGCAGGCCCATCCTTCTCATGTGGGGACTTAGATGACAATCTCTTTTCACCAGTCCCGTGAGAATGCGTAAATCTTCCCTACTCCATTCCCGGATCTGAGCAGAGCCATTCATAAAAGGATATAAACGTCTTCCCCTGGGGTATGTCTCCAGTAAGTGTTACATCCCAGAAACAAATAAATGTAAAAAAGCATACTCCACAAGAGGCACTGTCAATTTTTATAGAAGGTGACTTCACAAGAAGGCAATGGAAATCTTTTATCATGCTAATAAGAGTATCTATATATGTTACTTATTAATACAAAAGACAAAAAAGGATTGCTACCCTAAAGAAGAGACAATACACGTAACTGAAACGTGCATAGAAATCCAACTGCATCTCGTCTGTATAAATACTTTGAAGAGGTAATAGGAACTTTGTCAAACGAGGAAAGAAAAAACATGGAACTAGTATCAAAATGGGAATGCAAAGGATCACAACAGTTGCAGTTTAAACAAAAATTTCAAAGCGTCTCTGATAGTGATGTTAATATTTTCCAAAGTTACTTAGTTCCTTTGCGACTAACCGTGAATGTAAATGAAAAAATTAAAATAGTATGGCAAAATCCAGTTCCATCTTCCATACGATTTTGTAGACCAATCCGCATCAGATTTGTCAGTGAATCAAAATATATCACCAAAGATCAATTAAAAACTCTGTCAAAAACTGAAATCATTGCTCCCGGTGGAATTGTAAAAATAAATCATAGAATGCTGTTTACAATAATTGACGGCAAGGTATGCAATTCTGTAACTGACACTTTGTCAACCATACGCTGTTATATTTGTGGATATAGACCTCAAAAAATTTTAATAAGCTAATGGAAGTACAGTTCATTAAATTTCTAGAGGCTTTCGACGGCTAGACAGAGAAAGCACTACTGACAGGCATCCCGACGGATTTACGCAATGAAAGTACACTCTGCGCATCAAGTATTTCACTATTTCATTCAGACGTAAATGTCAAATGTAAATTTCGCTAAAACAATTCTTTTATTTTCGTGTGTGTTTTTTGCTCATTACAGTTTAATAGAACCTAAGTATGGAGTTTAATAGCAAATTAAGAGGCCGCGTGATTAACAGTCAATCTCGCGAAATAATAGCCAATGTTATAGAGTTTATGAGAAGAGAAGGAAACTTTAATTCACCTTCAATACCATTTAAAAATGTAAATGATCGTGTTGCTGCAGCCACAGGAGTATCTAAAAACACTGTCGTCCGCATTTCTGGAGAGAAAAAAAGAATCGATAACCGTGAGATATCGGAATTTTCATCACCAAGAAAAACCATTAAAAAACCAAAAACAGTTAATGATATAGATGAAGCTGCACAAGAATCAAATTTTATTTTTTTATTATTAGATAGCTATTTTTGTTTCTGAGTTGTGTTCATTTACAGGCTCAATTTTTTTCCGTTTCTCCTTTTTGATTTTATATGGGGTTTCAAGTTGTTTTTGACTTATTCGACGTAAATCACAACAACACACTTTTTTAATAAAGCAAACAAGTGTTAAGAGGTATATGTACGTGTAAACTACAATTACAAAAAATTGATATGAAACCCATGAAACCACCAACAAAAATGTAAAGCTAGCTTCCGTACTAGAACATGGTGTCATTCGTCTAGATAATTTATCGTTTTGTTTAATAGATCAAGAAATGTAAATATTCCCCTGTTATTTTTTATAAAATTATAAGAGAAATAAATTTTTTTCTAAATAGTATAGTTTATTATTTTGTAGAAAAACAAAATTTCGAAAATTTTAGTAATGTTTCAGAAACAACCGTTATTAATAATAGGTACCATTTTCCTTAATAAGGTAGAAATAAAATATAAACTATTTCCACGATTTACAAAGGCCTACAAAAAAATTATAGGTATTTTCCGCTATCCTATAAAATTTATATTTTCTGACTCAATTTCAAAAGGTTGAAGGAATTCCAAAACACCTTTTATGGCATAATAATTATTTTCAATTCTACATACTATCTTTAGCTGCTTTTAAAAACGTTCTAAGAAAGTCCAATCAGACCAATTTAATCCCTAAACTATTCCACACTTTTAAAATTTAATTACCTAAAAATATTAAAAACTATTTAAAATAACTTGTTTAGCAGACTGTACAATAGCTATCTTAGTCACACGTAGCGCGTTCTCTGTCTGGGCGTCAAACACCTCTAGAAATTTGATAAACTGTTCTGGACGTAAAACATTACAGTTTGGAGTATCGGTACTGCTCCACCTCGCCTACAAGCTTCCGTTAAAAAAATGGCAGGCGCGTACACCATCAGAAAAGAAACGAAAGAGCGAATACAGAACGATTTAAGAGAAAAAATGAGATTGCTAGTGAACGTATCTAAGGCAGGATGCGGTAACACCAATGATGGAAACACATCACGAAGAATTTTTGCAAACCCACATACGTCTTCTCGAATTAGTGGCATTAATGCGGACCTCATCAAGCGATTTAGAGTAATTCTAGAAGTAATTTCAAGTGGATTCACCATAAATGCTGAAAAGTTTGCTGTTTATGCCCACACAACAGCCATGTTGTATATTGGTTTGTATGAATGGCATCCTATGTCACCTACAATCCACAAAGTATTGATCCATGGAACTCAAATATTAAGCCATGCAATTTTACCTACTCGACAATTAATAGAGGAGGTGGCTGAAGCCCGTAATAAACATTTCAGACAATACAGAATTGATTTTTCGAGAAAATTTTCTACAGAAGACTGCAACAGAGACATTATGAATTGTTATTGAGTTCAGATCCTTATTTAAGTTTAATCAGACCAAAGCCGCAAAATAACAAAAAAATATTTTCAAAAGAAGTACTTGATCTCATGATCGCAACTGCACCGTCATGTCATCAACATCGACGGATGAAAATATAAGCTACGAAAGTATTGAGAAAAAGGATGTTTAGGTAGTAGTTCTAAAAACTAAAATAAAGATAAATTTAAAAAACCTATTTTTGCAATCTGTTTACTTTTTTTTATTATTTAAGGCTACATTTTAAAAAATACCGTTTTTAATTCAAAAAAAGGCCATCAAATAATTTTGTCCGGAATTTGAATGAAACTACTCTTATGTGGAACGTAACCATGTTCGTCGGTGGTTCAATTGGTAGATACGCCGATGACTTAAATCGGAAGGTTCCAGGTTGAATCCCTGGCCGATGGATTCATTTTTGTTTCTTTAATTCTTAGGTTTTTCAATTTTTTCTTCGGTTTATTTTTGTTTTTTTTTTATTTTTATTTTGGGCATATGGAGGTGTATTTTTCAAAATTTCCTAAACCAAAAAGCTATATCTTTGTTAAAGTGCGTTTCGAGAAAAAACAAATTTTCTAAAAGTTGTTTTTACGTTCCCTTGAGTCGAAATACAAATGATTTAGGCACCGCTAAATTATTTTAAATTGTTTCTTATTCTTGAATTATTTCTTTTAAAGTGGCGTATAAGGATATGCAGCAATTTACCTTAGTAATAATAATTACATTACGCCCAAGCCTTTAAGTAAATACAAGTGAAATTAAGATGGGTAAATCTTTCTTTGTTTTTTAATGTTTTGAAAGGTATGGATATTTTGCTTAGGACATCTGACGCGGAATTTTTAAGCTATCCGGTGCTTTAAAAACAAGTTTGTCTTTTTTTTGTGTAGTAAAGTAGTAAAATACTAAAATAACAAAAACTTTTTAAGTGTGACACAATTTAATAATGCACTTATTGCGTTTTGTTTCCTTTTACTAAATACGCGATTACTCTACTTTACTGTACATTAATTATTGATAAATATTTGGGTCACCATGTATACATTTAACTTTGCATCACCGCATGTAGGATAGTCCATAGCAGAAAACTAAAACTCTACAAAGAAAATAAGAGGGTGAACCAAGCTCTCTGCACGATACGAGGAAAGAGGCCTTAGCATTTTCAAGTCGATGACTTTAATATTTAAATGAAATGTCAGTTACTATAAATGTGTATAGTGCCATTCTACTTTAGCCTGATGTCACTTAGGTTATACCTTTCTTTCAATATTATATGTGTTTAAATATTCTTAGATCTTTTCCTTCGTGAGCATACATGAGCGCTTCTAGAAGGGGACATGAAGAGAGTAATAACCCATATTTTTTAATTGCTAAAATTTTTATTAATAAAGTCTAAAGTAAACTTCATTATTTTTAGAAATTAATTTTATTCAGTTAAATTAAAAAAATCCAGAACGTGTAATTTATATTTATGCTCAAAAATATTAAGTATATTTAGTATTTTTGTCACCAATTTACGTCGCCACGCCGTTTGTCTTTCCGAAGTAGTTGCCTTGTGTCGACACCATATTAACATTCGCTCCTATGAAAGATACATGTTCTATTCACCACAGCATACACCAAGTAGTTGTAGATCTCGTTTTTTAAGAGATGGTAGTTTCTAGCGCCAAAGTGATTGGTCGTTCAACTAACTCAATATGACGGCAAGTTCAAATGTGATTTAAATGCGGAATTTAAATTTTCCGCTAAAACAGTAAATTTTCGGACGTAAAATGGCGGGATCTTCAAATATATTTATTTGTGTAGTGAATATAATATAGGAAGTAAGTTGCGTATTCCATTGAACCAGTTGTTAAGCCAGGTGCTATTTTGAAAGCTAAAAATGTATTACGATTAGCTGTTACAATAAGAGCAGCATTTGGATAACCAATTGAGTAATTTAAAAGTTTTTAATTTTACCTGAATCGACCATTTATACTTTTCTGTCTTTATACAGATAAGATGTTACGGGATACAAATAATAGTCATATTTAACTTGTAAAATAACAAATAATGCACCATATTCTATTATTATAATTAAATTATTTACTACCTTCATGATTGATTATTGGAAAAGATAAATAAAAAGGCATCACTTACTTATAATTAATAAAACACAATAGCGACCACTTAAGTATTTAATTTAAATGTCCATTATTTTGTTTGTTTATATTCTAGAATAGTAGTTCTTTTAATTTTACTATTTCTTCTACTTATACATTTCTTCGTTTAGACCTCTACTGTATAAGTATGTTTATATTACTTCTTCTATTTCATTAGGGCCTGGTTAAGTAGTACAGTATTAACAAAAATTTCAATTGACATGACATGACTGGTCACTCTCATTTGTCCTTCAAGCTTCCGGTCATTCTGCTTTGGACTTTGGGGTTAGCAACTTAAAGTATGTGCTTCTAACCAAAATCGAATTTTATTTCGGATCTTTTAGCCCCAATAAAGAAAAATCATCTCTGGGAGAAAAGGAGTTACTATAATCAGAAGTCTGATATCACGTTTTGTGGATTTTTATTTTCTTACCACTTTTCATCTTCATTAACATTCCGCTACTAATTTGGATTTATGTGACATAAATACTAACGTCGGACTCACAGTCTGCATATCTTTTTTCATTAACAAAAAAAAAAAGACCGAAAACCATGCATAACTAAATCAGTCTTAGGGAAAAGACATTCAATGTCAGTATATTTACACATTTTGAAGGTATATTAATGAAATTAAAAAGTCCAGGAACAAAGCTCAAAATTCTTTTTAAATTGTAAAAGTCACATAAATCGAGAACATACAAAACAGATAAAACATAACATTTTCAAAAGCAAAAACAGAATTTCTTACATAAATATAAAACAACTAACCTAAACTTAAAAATGACTAAAATCGTCAATCTTCGTCGGCCAAGTACTCACTACACATGTAGTTGACATGTTCCAAACAAACAGGTTTTTTATAGTATGTACAGTTAAATCTTGTAGATCTATTTTTTTGTCACAATAAAAGCAGCGTCGTTTGATGTTTTCGGTTTGTGGTTCTGGTAACTCTTCCTGCAGTGGTGAACGTAAATTTTTTCTAAGGCGAAGTCTAATGGTACGTTATATCCGATTATTAGCAGCTCTTCTTCGTAAGTGTTGGTCTAGTAACTGCATGCCAAGATTCTCCAGAAATATTCTTCGAGGTGTATTATTCATATATTTTGAATTGCTCTTGAAAATAACGAATTAGTTTATTCCAGCTTTATTAGCATATAAAATACAGCCATTGGTCAGCGACGAGTAGCTCTGGCACAATCATAGGCCGCACATATCTTGTCCGCTATATCAACCCCACCTTTTGTTTTATTATAATCAATTATTATTTGTGGTTTTCCAGTAGCTTTGTCTTTTTCATCTTCGTTATGGTGCATGGTTGACAACATGATAACCTTTTTATTTTTTCTGGGTATATAAGATGTTATGGTTGCTTTGTCTTGGAATTCAAACACGCTTGTCTTTTCGGGTTGTTCAGTAGGTTGGACAAATTCAAGCGGAAGTTCCTTTCAGTTTTTTCTAATGGTACCAAGAATCGTGAGTTTACGATCTGTTCAAAGTATGTTAGCAACAGCCATGCTGGTAAAGAAGCTGTCCATTGTAACGTTTCTGCTGGTTCCTTAGATGGGGCGACAAAGACGTTAAAGGTTATAAGGTCCAATCGGCTTCCCAAGATAAATGTACATGTTTGCAGTATAAAACATTTTGGCGTCTACCAGAAAATATATTTTGATACGATATAGGTTAGGTTTCTTTGGCATATATACTTGAAAGTTGCATCTCCCTCGGAATGCCACCAACATTTCGTCCACTGTTGTGAGCTCGAAAATAAAAAAAATATTTAGACAAATTAGAATTAAACGAATCATAGATTTCCCGGATTGGTGCTAATTTGTCGTATTTTTGTCTTTCAATTTCAGTATTTTTATTGTCAAAACGAATATATTGCAACACAAATCTAAACCGTTCTCGAGACATTATCAAACGAAATATTTCCATGGATGTTCCATTTGTTCTAAATAAATCAGAGGCATTTACCCGATTATTTTTTGACATCGAGCATATATAAAGCAATCCTATAAGCGCACTCAGTTCAATAATGGCTGTGGGCCTTGCTGATTGGTTGTTTGGATTCACATTGCACATTCCAATGTAGATATTTGTATTATCAACAATGACCTGCAACATTTCATTTGTAAAAAAGACCACAGATTTCTGCTGCAGATTTTAATGCTTTTGTATTCCCCTTTACCCCAGGGAGAAATATTTAGGGCGATTGTCCGTACCTGGGAATTTTCAGGATGCTTTATCCACTTGGTTTGGCCATCTTTTCCAATGTAATATGCAACTTTTTTGTGCACCACTCCATCCATTATTTCATCTGGAAGATCCAAGATGTTGTTTGGGTCCTCAATATCTTGCTCATTATCCGTGTTGTGATCTTGAATCTCTTCATCATCATCCTGCAGACCCAAATCGTCGTCAGATGGCTCGATATCAGTCTCAATATCAGTCTCAATATCGTCCTAGACACGGTGCTTGGGAACCAACTTTAAATGAAAAGTTTATTTACTAGACTTTTTTTTCGGTCAAAGTATTTCTGAAGGGCTATAGATTGACGCAATATATTTTTTAAAATCGGTTCCAGCAGCCGTTTTTTAGAAAACTCGATTTTTAATGAAAAAGTGACCTTTTTTTTTACTTTTTTGCTTGTAACTTGCACATTTCACATTTTCTCGGCTTGCCAAAAGTAAATTTCAATGGAAAAATGTCCGCTCTACAAAAAAGCATCAATGAATTTTTTCTCTAAAATCAGCCGATTTTGAGTTAAATGAGATCTCAAATCGGCTGATGATGAACACGCATCACCCTGCTCTGTTTACCTCTTAACACTAACTTCGGCAGCGTTGTTAGTAT